ATTTTTATGATCTCCGGGCCTGATTGTGTCCGAAGCACGGCGATTTTTATCGCTATGGATCGGGGCTTTTCCTTGTGAATTTGGTGAGGTCTCCCTCAATGACAAGCAACGCAGTTCACCTAGCTGGAAAACTTGCTTCAGGGTTCTTTTAAGTGGGGTGGGACGTTCAGTTTTGCATTATTAGGTGGGCCGGGCTAGGAGTGTTCTGTGGTAACTCTTTCAGGTGCAGGCAACGCGTGGCTCGCTGTTGGTTCTGTTGATGCTGACGGATGGGGAAGGAGGGGCCCCCGACCCTCTTATACATTTCCTGGACAATTCTAGATGTAAGATCTGCCCATCCAGAACACGGTGTTTGGGGCACCGTCTGGAGACCCACTAGGCACTTGGAGAAAGATGTGGTCAACATCGCTCCGGGGAGTCTTTACTTGTCATGACGTCTGCCTGGTGGGACTTGCCCTTGGTGAAGTGGCTAGAAGTGGCTAGACGCTCGCCTGCGGATCTGATGGTCATGGGTTCAAATCCAAACGGAGCCAGACTTTTTTTCAGAAATGACTTTGGCCAAATGACCAACTTTAAAAATCGGTAAGTCTACCAAAAAAAGTCCCAGGAAGTAAAGGCGGCCGGCGCTATGTTGACCGCATCAACCACCAAACACCGATTGCTCTATAAAATATAGGCCTATGCCCGATATACCTGAAAGCGGTTAAAAGGGTTCTTTATTTTATATTGCCTGGCCCCTTTTTGTAGCTGGGTCGACATCGGAGCCAAAGTCATTTTATAAACATTGAAACTGAAGATTTTCTGGCCAGCAGGCAAGTTTTTAGCCACATGGCTATCGCAATTCCTGTTTGATATTCTAGTCATCGTATAATGCGTTGGTTTTCTTTTGGCATCTGGTCAGAGCATATTAAAGTAACCTGGCTTCGCTAGTTATGCTAGTAGATCTGGTTGTGTATTTGACCACAGTGAACGGTTCCAGGTGGGTTTAGGCAGACAAACTGACAGGCAGACAGACAGGCATGCAGATAGATAGATAGATAGATAGATAGATAGATAGATAGATAGATAGATAGATAGATAGATAGATAGATAGATAGATAGATAGATAGATAGATAGATAGATAGATAGATAGATAGATAGATAGATAGATAGATAGATAGATAGATAGATAGATAGATAGATAGATAGATAGATAGATAGATAGATAGATAGATAGATAGATAGATAGATAGATAGATAGATAGATAGATAGAAAGACAGACAGACAGACAGAGACAGACAGACAGACAGACAGACAGACAGACAGACAGACAGACAGACAGACAGACAGACAGACAGACAGACAGACAGACAGATAGATAGATAGATAGATAGATAGATAGATAGATAGATAGATAGATAGATAGATAGATAGATAGATAGATAGATAGATAGATAGATAGATAGATAGATAGATAGATAGATAGATAGATAGATAGATAGATAGATAGATAGATAGATAGATAGATAGATAGATAGATAGATAGATAGATAGATAGATAGATATAATTTTTTGATTAATCAAGTAATTGATTGATTGATCGCCTCGGCCTAATATAACTGGCACAAATACCAAATTTGTTAAGGCTACTAACATTTGTATGCAGCCGCTTGCCATTGAGAAAATCTCCTTTATATCCAACAAAAACATCTATCGACCCACATAGTTCTTCCTTTATTTTCATGTTTTATGGGTCATGGGTTGCTTACACCCAACAGGATTTGGTCGTACACATCCAGAAATACACAAACGACTTGCCCTGAATTCTATGTTAGGCAAACGAATGGCTGGTCCAATGCTAAACGTTACAAACACTTGCTGCAAGAGACACCACCCGTGTTCGGTTATGCTTGGTCATGGACACCCCCCCCCCCCCCCCTTTCTCCTTCCAAATAAGCGTGTCGTAAAAGGCGACTAATTATGGGTTTTACTTTCGAAGTCGGAGTGCATCTGTTTGATACACGAGGCACTAGTCTGCATACAAATAAACCAGATGTGAAAAACGGAAGTGCACGCAAAACTAAAGTTCTAGAAGAAAACCAGAATTGGACGAACAACCAAAACTTTCTACCGTAGTTTATCAGTTCTTCTCCATGCTGCAAAATCTGGGACCTGTTTTATCCATGCTGCAAACTGTAGGATCAGTTGTACTCCCTACTGTGAAGTGCGGGACCAGTTGTACTCCCTACTGTGAAGTGCGGGACCAGTTGTACTTTGTACTGTGAAGTGTGGGACCAGTTGTACTCCCTACTGTGAAATGTGGGACCAGTTGTACTCCATGGTGCAAAATGTGGGACCAGTTGTACTCCCTACTGTGAAGTGCGGGATCAGTTGTACTCCCTACTGTGAAGTGCGGGACCAGTTGTACTCCATGGTGCAAAATCTGGGACCAGTTGTACTCCATGGTGCAAAATGTGGGACCAGTTGTACTCCATAGTGCAAAATGTGGGACCAGTTGTACTCCATGCTGCAAAATCTGGGACCAGTTGTACTTCATGGTGCAAAATGTGGGACCAGTTGTACTCCATGGTGCAAAATGTGGGACCAGTTGTATTTCATGGTGCAAAATGTGGGACCAGTTGTACTCCGGGTTGCAAAATCTGGGACCAGTTGTACTTCATGGTGCAAAATCTGGGACCAGTTGTACTTCGTGTTGCGAAAAGTGGGACCAGTTGTACTCCATGGTGCAAAATGTGGGACCAGTTGTACTCCATGGTGCAAAATGTGGGACCAGTTGTACTCAATGCTGCAAAATGTGGGACCAGTTGTACTCCATGCTGCTAAATGTGGGACCAGTTGTACTCCATGCTGCTAAATGTGGGACCAGTTGTACTCCATGCTGCAAAATGTGGGACCAGTTGTACTTTGTGTTGCGAAAAGTGGTGGGACCAGTTGTACTCCGTGCTGCAAAATATGGGACCGGTTGTACTCCGTGTTGCGAAAAGTGGGACCAGTGATAATACTTGCTGCAAACTGTGGAACAAGTTGTACTGCGGGCTGCAAACTGTTTAACAAGTTGTACTTCGTGCTGCAAAATGTGGGACCAGTTGTACTTTGTGTACTGCGTGTCGCGTACTGCAAAATATTGGACCAGTTGTACTCCGTGTTGCGAAAAGTGGGACCAGTGGAAATACTTGCTGCAAAATGTAGGACCAGTTGTACTTAGTGCTGCAAATTGCGGGACTGGTTGTACTGCGTGCTGCGAAAATACTAGAACTATCAACGCTCGTCTACTGGCACAAAGGGCAAGGTTTCAAATCTACATCGCAGCAGGTTGTTTTATTCTGGTCAAAATAGGCTCCCAGTTCGGCCTAGCCTAAAATGTGTAAAAGTACAATTTTGGGAAGTAAAGGCGACCGGCATTATGTTGACCACACCGCCCATCGCTCCCACTGGTCTATAAAAATGTAGATTTATCACTTTTAGCATGATGTACAAAGAGGTCTTCTTATTATACTTTAAGTAAAGTAAAGTAAAGATCCCTTTTCACGCCTTTCGGCGCATCGGGCATATGGGCAGAGCGTCCCGTATTTTTACAGACCATCAGCACACTGTGGGTAATGTGGTCAGCATTACGCCGGCTGTCTTTACTTTCCCAGGACAGCCCATCCTGGTACCCATTTTAGGCTGGGTCGACCTGCGACGTCCCATACCACGATAAAAATCCACGCAGCCTGCAGTGGGTTTCGATCGCGGTATGCTGGCTTACGAGTCGGACTCGCAACGCCTTAGCCACGGACTCCGCCTTATTATGCTTTACTTACTGCAAAATACTAGCTAAAGCTTCTGTGATTTATTTATGGTTAGAAGTCTATTTCTGTGTCATACATTTGTGAATGGTTGGGTGTCCTCTTCGTCTTCTGCTTTTTCTTTTTATTTCTTTCTTTCTTACTTTTTTTTCTTTTCCTTTCTTTCTTTCTTTTCTTCTCTTTCTTTCTTTCTTTCTTTCTTTCTTTCTTTCTTTCTTTCTTTCTTTCTTTCTTTCTTTCTTTCTTTCTTTCTTTCTTTCTTTCTTTCTTTCTTTCTTTCTTTCTTTCTTTCTTTCTTTCTTTCTTTCTTTCTTTCTTTCTTTCTTTCTTCTTCGTCTTCTCATTCTGCTTCTTCTCATTCTGATTCTTTTCATTCTGCTTCTTCTCATTCTGCTGCTTCTTCTTCTTCTTCTTCTTCTTCTTCTTCTTCTTCTTCTTATTCTTCTTCTTCTTCTTCTTCTTCTTCTTCTTCTTCTTCTTCTTCTTCTTCTTCTTCTTCTTCTTCTTCTTCTTCTTCTTCCTTCTTCTTCTTCTTCTTCTTCTTCTTCTTCTTCTTCTTCTTCTTCTTCTTCTTCTTCTTCTTCTTCTTCTTCTTCTTCCGATAACATTTAGCTATATATAAAATTGTTTACTCTCTCTCTCTCTCTCCCCCCCCCCTCTCTCTCTTTCTCTACCCTCCCTCCCTCTCCCCCTCCTCCACTCTCTCTCTCTCTCTCTCTCTCTCTCTCTCTCTCTCTCTCTCTCTCTCTCTCTCTCTCTCTCTCTCTCTGTCTGTGGCTTTCTTTCTTTCAGCTTTCACTGACTGTAAACTTGGGCAGATAGTTCTGGTTGTGGTGAACATGAGATCTTGTTGTCTTGTCCTTGAACTTGAGTTCTGCGAGTGCAGGATTTTCATAGTTTTAGATTTATCTCCCCCCCCCCCCCAACCCCTTTTTTCCCCCACACACAACCACCACCCCCCCACACACACACACACACACAAAATGGGGCTGCAGAATCAAAATGGACACCATGTTGTTAACGATTGTTTGGCTTCTGCGACAAAAGTTATTTTATTTAATAAAGCGGCGAGTCATCATATTCACCTAAATAGACATATTTATTGACAGACTGACACTCCCCCATACAATGTTGTTACCCAGCCTGACTGTCACTGATGGTCCCTGTTATATTTATGATCTTGATGAGCGTCATGTTGCTGGTCCATCAGGTACTCGGGAGACCGCCTTCATTTACGCCGTGCTGAGCGCTGGAGTGGTCCACGCTGTGACCCAAGCCTGTTCGGTTGGCAATTTAACCGACTGCTCCTGTGATATGTCCAGGTAAGGCTTTCTTATTGTGTGTGCGTGCGTACGTGCGTGCATAAGTGCGTGCGTGTGTGCGAGCGTGCGTGAGTGTGCGTGGATGGGTGTGTGTGGGTGTGTGTGTTTCGGAAGCAAACAACTCTACCATATATTACAATCAACAACCGCTACTGACACCCTCGATGACCGTGTCGCCCACTGGCTCGCCTGTAGACGACTTCGTCGCTGGTCAGTACCGTATTTGGGTCTGTCTCCTTTGATCGCATCAACACTTCGAGAGTCCTGTTCAGGGCTACTTGATGACGAGCCATGCTGAGTCATATTATTTGGCACATATAACCTAGTCACAATTATAACCTAAAGCTCCTCCTTCGGGGATGCTGGTTGTTTGTGTCGAGCAAAGCAAGCAGTCAACCTACTGACACTACTGCTGATAACGACTGCTTCATCTTCCTGTGGTCTAGACCTCATCTGCCTGTCACCATCGGGGTTTGACGAAGCCTCGGGTGTGATCCTTGTTATCTTCTTCTTCTTCTTGGAGTTCACCGACTGGACATGCCCTAGAAAAATTATGGTTGTTCGCCTATTTCTGGATATTGGTCCTGTTTCATTACTTTAGTTTTGCATGAACACCCGTTTTCCACATCTGGCTTATTTGTGTGCAGACTGTTGGTTCCTCGATTCTCGGACATATGCACTCCAACTGTAAAGGAAACATCCTTAATTAGTTGCCTTTGTGTTATGCAAATGCTGTTATTTACTGCCTATGATTTTCCATCTATCCATCGCTTCCGTGGTTGACTTCTTGCTCTGTTTCCATCACTTTTAGTGATAGGGCTCTCTGTGGTGCACTGTATACAGCTGTCTTAACCCATGACCAAACCATTTCATCTGTTGTCTCTTGATGTTGTTTAGTACTGGTTCTGTCCCAACTACTTTCCTCAAATTGTCATTTATGATTCTGTCTTTTTTTTTTTTTTTAGTTACATTTAGTATGTGCGGCGTCCGTGGCTAAGGCGTTGCGAGTCCGACTCGTAAGCCAGCATACCGCGATCGAAACCCACTGCAGGCTGCGTGGATTTTTGTCGTGGTATGGGACGTCGCAGGTCGACCCAGCCTAAAATGGGTACCAGGATGGACTGTCCTGGGAAAGTAAAGACAGCCAGCGTAATGCTGACCACATTACCCACAGAGTGCTGATGGTCTGTAAAAATATGGGACGCTCTGCCCATATGCCCGATGCGCCGAAAGGCGTGAAAGGGGAACTTTACTTTAGTTACATTTAGTATTAGTCGTAAACATTTCATTTCCATTGTTTCCGTGTTTCTTTTTGTTTCTTTTAAATTTAATGTCCACGTTTTACACTGGTAATACTATGCTGGTACCAATAGTGTAGTGAATAGTGCTTTTCTTGTTGTCAGTTGTTACTTAATTGTTCTGAAAAATTATGGACACCTATCAGGTGATGATTTGCTTTATTACAAATATGTTTTATCTTTGCTTAAAGGCTGCTGCCACATCTATTACCACCATCACTTCTGCTACTAGACTGTTGGTTGTAGACTACTATTATTAATGATGTTGGTGTTTCTGCTGCTGCTACTACTACTGCTTCTACTACCACCACTAGCACCTCTACTACTGCTGCTGCTGATGTCCGTGTTGCTGCTGCTGCTACTACTACTACTACTACTTCTACTACTTCTACTACTACTACCACCACCACAACCACACCTCTGCCACCAACATCAGCACCAACACAAGCACTACCACCACCACTACTACCACCACTACCACTACAGCTACCACTACTACCACCACCACCACTACCACCACCACTACCACCACCAGTACTACTACTACTGTTACTACTCTTTGCAAAAACATCGACACAAAAATTCAGGCCCATGCTACCCTCCCCAGGTACGGAGAAGCAGACGTGGATGGGTGGAAGTGGGGAGGCTGTAGCGACAACGTCAACTATGGCCTCTGGTTCAGCCGGACATTTGTAGACGCTCCAGAGACCATCTCCCATCAGACGAGTCGAACCATTCGCAGTCTGATGAACCTACACAACAACGAAGTGGGCAGAAAGGTTAGTACTACCTATAGGTGTTGATGGTGAAGTGGCTGGGTGGACGCACCATTTGGTTTTTCTTCTTCAGTTGTAAATTGATGTAAAGTCCTGGATGTTCGTCCACTTCTCGACTTTTAGGTCCTTTTCCAGAATGTTTGACAGGTCCCTCTTATATGTATGCAGACTGTTGGTTCATTGTCTCTCATTCAGATACACCCCGACTTCGAAGGAAATATCATAATTAGTCGCCTCTTACGGCATACGTATAAGGTGGCCAGTGGTTTTATTTCTTTCTTCCAGCCGGAAAATGCCAATATGACGACATTGTCAGACATTCTTCCTTGTGACGAGATTGTTGGACATTCTTCCTTATGACGAGATTGTCGGACATTCTTCCTTTTGACGAGATTGTTGGACATTCTTCCTTGTGACGAGATTGTTAGACATTCTTCCTTGTGACGAGATTGTCGGACACTCTTCCTTGTGACGAGATTGTCAGACATTCTTCCTTGTGACGAGATTGTCGGACATTCTTCCTTGTGACGAGATTGTCGGACATTCTTCCTTGTGACGAGATTGTCGGACATTCTTCCTTGTGACGAGATTGTCTGGCATTCTTCCTTGTGACACGCCAGGTGCATACGGATATACAATAAACTGTTGATAACATTTATATCTGTAATAAGTCACACAATAAATTAGTGCCAATGACTAGGGAAAACATTACACTAGATGCTTGTTCGGGTTCTCGAGCTCGATGATTAGGTCAGGCTATTTGGAGAAGAAGAAGAAGAAGAAGAAGAAGAAGAAGAAGAAGAAGAAGAAGAAGAAGAAGAAGAAGAAGAAGAAGAAGAAGAAGAAGAAGAAGTAGAAGAAGAAGAAGAAGAAGAAGAAGAAGAAGAAGAAGAAGAAGAAGAAGAAGAAGAAGAAGAAGAAGAAGAAGAAGAAGAAGAAGAAGAAGAAGAAGAAGAAGAAGAAGAAGAAGAAGAAGAAGAAGAAGAAGAAGAAGAAGAAGAAGAAATGAATAATAATAATAATAATAATAATAATAATAATAAGAAGAAGAAGAAGAAGAAGAAGAAGAAGAAGAAGAAGAAGAAGAAGAAGAAGAAGAAGAAGAAAGAAGAAGAAGAAAGAAAGAAAGAAAGAAAAAGAAAGAAAGAAAGAAAGAAAGAAAGAAAGAAAGAAAGAAAAAGAAAGAAAGAAAGAAAGAAAGAAAGAAAGAAAGAAAGAAAGAAAGAAAGAAAGAAAGAAAGAAAGAAAGAAAGAAAGAAAGAAAGAAAGAAAGAAAGAAAGAAAGAAAGAAAGAAAGAAAGAAAGAAAGAAATGAAGGAAGGAAGAAGAAGAAGGATAAACAGAAGGAGGGGAGGAGGAGGCGGTGGAAGACGAAAAGAAGAAGACAGAAGAAGTCAGAACAAACTCCTGAATGTGTAGTCGAGCTAGAAAACAACATCTCGGCGACGCCTACAGTTAATTAGAACGGAAGGTCGGACATTGCTGCATTGGAAGCTCCCCTCACATCTCAAATTACCGGACGCGTGTGACATTTTCCTCCGGAAATTCTCAGCTGTAACTCCACGTCGAACAATTCCCAAACTTCTCACAGAAAAACCACCAAATAAATATCCCTTTAGCTATTAAAGGGATTTTGTATTTTTATACCCAGAAATCCAACGGTCTTTGAAGTAGTGGGGAGAGAAGTAGGCAGACTTGCATTTGGGCAGTGGAGACAGAGGTACTTGGGAAATTCTATAGCCTTCCTGCCATGTTTTACCAAGGTCTAGAAAAAACAAGCTTCACTTTTCGTGTTACCGGACAAAGAACAATTGAAACATTTTCCCACCGAGTTGGCAACTGACATTTCTGTAATACCGGACATACTCGGCGATCTTGTGTACCTTTGATCGGCTTTCGCCCTAGCTGAGCAGTTACACCGCAACTGTAAATTGCCGCTAAAATGGATCTTTGGCTAGAAAAGAAAGTAAGTTGTAAATCTGGGAACAGACCGTTCAAGTAAGCCTAAAGAGGCGTTACAACATTTGTTGCCGTTGTGACCTGCTTGAGCAAAGCTGTGAAGTTATTTTTCTTTGATAATTTTGACGAATACATTTGCAAAGGAATGTTTGTGCCCGATGGATGAGAGAACCATATCTGAGGCGAGTGTGAGCAACCGTCCGTGACAGAAGGCTAATCACCGTTGAGTCTTTCGAGCGTTATCTTACATTTTATTTCTGATTTTCTGATTTTATTTGTGATAGTTCCTCAAAATCTCCATATACTGTTAATTCATCTCTTCGCCTTCTTTTATCTTCCTTTTTCTTCCGCTTTCTTCTACATCTTTTTATAAGGCAGCCGCTTCTCAAAGAAAAAGATTAAGAAATATAAACGGGAAGAAACGCAAAAGACAAAAAGGCAGTTTTCTGGCATAAGGAAATTAGTTAGTTACTTAGTTAGTCTTTCCTCTTGTGTCGAGTGCGGCACATAGGGCAGAGGTCATGGCTCTCCATGCATGGCGGTTCGTTGCAATCTGTTGTAGGTCTTGGATGTTTGAGTGGCTCATGAGCGAGCCTTCCCTGATGATAGTTCTACGTAGGGTTTCCCTTGGTCTTCCACGAGATCTTTTTCCCTGTGGTGTCCAAATGAGGGCTTGGTAAGGAAGTCTTGATTTATCCATTCTAAGGGCGTGGCCGACATAGTTCCAGCGGCGTTTTCGTATAAAATTAGACACATACTCTTGCCTGGATTTTCGCCTTATTTGTGCATTGGTTCGGAAATCTGACCATTTGAAATTTAGTATTCTTCTAAGGCATTTATTTTCAAAACTGTCTAATTTTGTGTCTAGAGTTTTCGTTGATTTCCAGCTGTCGCATCTATAGGTTAGTACTGGAATCACACAAGAATTGAAGATCTTCAGTTTTGTGTGTTTGCTAAGTGTCTTTGATTTCCAGATGTTGGACAGTTTATTGAAGGCACTAGATGCCAGTGCTATTCTAAATGGTATTTCTGGTGCGGTATCTCCTGTAGATGACATCTTGCTCCCTAGATAAGTGAAACTGTTGAATTTTTCAAGGCTGTTGAAATTCTGGAGTCGATTGATTTTTTCTTGGACGTCTGTGTGTTCTGAACACAGGAGTGCTATGTCGTCGGCGAAGTCTAGGTCTTCAAGAATTTTGTCAACCCATGTAATGCCTAAATTTGCGTTATTTATGCACTTGCGCATGACCCAGTCGATTGCTATACCAAAAAGCATCGGCGATAGGACACACCCTTGGTTCACTCCTGTTTCCACCGGGAACCAGTCAGAATTGCCGGAATCAGTTCTTACACAGCATCGTGTTTCATTATAAAAAGATTTTATGATGTTGATATATTTGATGGGGAAACAATAAATGTTAAGCAATTTCCAGAGTGTTGGACGATGGATACTGTCGAAGGCTTTTTGGAAGTCGACAAAGTTGATCAATAATTTCGACTGGAATTCTGTAGAATCTTTAACAATTATTCTAAGAGTAAAGATGTGGTCTATGCATGACCGCTTGGATCTAAAACCGGCTTGTTCTTCCCTTAATCTTTCATCTATGGATTTTTTCAATCTTTCTAGTAGCATACTACAAAATAGTTTCCCTGGTATCGAAAGCAGGGTGATGCCTCTCCAGTTGTTACAATCGGAAAAATCACCTTTTTTAGGTAATTTAAAGATTACACCATCTTTCCATTGTTGTGGTGGGTATTCGTTTTGCCAGACTTCATCCATCAGCTGGAGCAAATGTTGCAGGGTGTTTTCATCCGCTGCTTTGATCATTTCCCCTGAGATGTTGTCCTCTCCGGTAGCTTTGTTTATTCTTAATTTTTTAATAGCTGTTTTAACCTCCTCTATTGTGAATGACTCGCTGGAGGCAACTAGTGTCGGTGTAATAATTTCTTCTTCTAGATTGGGAATGATGTCAGGATTTGGTCTATTTAATATTTCCTTGAAATGTTCTGCCCATCGCTTTGTTTGTTGGTCGTCGGATAGCAGTAGTTTACCCTGCTTGTCTTTAATGGGTGTATTTAGTGTAGGTGAGTGATTGCACAGTTGTTTCATAACATGGAATACGGCTTTGTTGTTTCCAATCTTGGCAGCTGTTTCAGCATCGGAGGCGAGGTCGTGTATGAAGTTCTGTTTGTCTTTCCTTGCATTTGATTTCACTTCTTTGTCTAGCGTGCTGTATTTTTTGTATGAAGATGTGTCTTTCTTGGATAAAAGTGTTAATTTTGCTTGTTTCCTTTCTTGGATTTTTGACCAAGTGTTGTCGCTTAGCCACTTCTTTTTCTGCTTTGTACATAACCAACTGTGTTTACTGCAGCGTTTGTCAGTGTGTTCTTGAAAAAGTCCAAATTTTTGTCTATGTTATTTGTAGTATCCGCATTACTAGTTTTGGTTACAAAGGTGGTGAGTATCTCTACATTCAATGCGCTTTGATGATCTTTTGACAAAAGGGCTTGTAAGTTTTTTTTCTTATTTCTGGGTGGTTTAAGTAGAGACTTGAGTTTAATTTTTAGTTTGGCAATACAAAGATTGTGATCACTGCCAATATCAGCTCCCCTGTAGGCTCTAACGTCTTGCACTGATAAGGAAATTAGAGGACGTCAAAAGAAACAAATTATTTAATATAAAATAATGTTAAATTGATGCTGTAGTGCGACACAGAACGATAGACAAAGTCTTTAAAAAGAAATTAGTAATAAACTACATACATTTGCTAATGTGTGTCTGTTCTACTCGTACTCTGGCGTTGATAGAACAACTGAGTTTTTACATGCATCTCAATAATATAACTGAAATGAGCTTCCACTCGAACCACAGGCATAAGAATTTCTGGTTTAAATACGTGCATTAAGATAGTCATTAGTAAATGAATCCAGAGGATATGGAAGGAGGTACAAAGGAGAAAACTGCTCGGTTTGAGTATGTTGAGAGGCCACTAATCACTTCTGAGGGGTTACAGGCAGAGATACATCGTTTAACCAAATACTCC